TCTTATATCTATTAGAATAATAAATGAAATTCAATTAAATGTTACAATTAAACATTACTAATACAATTAATCTCTGACGGTTTACATCATTTTACTTCTTATAGTTTCTTTTTCATTTGTCCCTTCATCTATTTTTTTATTTATTTGTCCCTCCATTCGCTCATTCTTTTAACTGGATACTTTTTAATACAAAAAGTGTCTCCCACTTCTTTCGAGATTAATTTTGCAAACTTAAGAGGGAGCCTCTTTTTGAGATGGGCTTCTATTCAAGGTTTACGGTATATAAATAATAATAGGCATGTGTATACAATAATTATATTGAATTAAAATACTGTAAATAAAATGAGATATGATTAATTAGATCACATTATTTCCAAGAAAGGGGTTCATAAACTGATATTAATTTGATTTGAATAAACACTTAAGTATCCAGGCTTATATCAATTTTTTTCTTTATTTCATTTGGAAGACTATCAAATAGTTTAACAAATCAGCTCAAATTTGTTATTAATACAGTGGTATTATTACTTTGCAGTGGCTACAACTTCAAAAATAGCATAAATTATAGACATGATGGTGCCTACTTTTACAGAAGTTTAATAGTTAATACTAAACCTAACAGACAATACAATATCAGACACTTTCTAACTGAGAGAAGTCAATTTATTTCACATACCGTATTTTTAAAGTGTTTTAAAAACAATGGGAATATTTAACAAGGGCTTGGAAATTAAGGTCAAACATTAACTCAATGTGTTAGATAGGTAATTCCACACTCTACACAATAGTATAACAGTCCTGGTATATTAGTTTCTTTTTCACTTTACTTAAAATTCATGTATAGTACATCAGTTTATTTTGTTATACCTAAACAATATATAATTGTCTTGGGCTATACTTCAGGCCTATATTATGTTGCAGTTGCAGAATGTGCAACATTTTCATCTTTGTAGTATGTAGTATAGTTAATTGTTAGTACTGTATGCCAAATTATTCTTTGTTTTGTATAAGGATGCACCATCAATGCAGTTAAGTATGCCGCTGAAAATCAAAAGCGTTTTCCAATAAATTAATTGATTTTGATTTAGTTGTCTATCTATGGTAAAAACACCCCCAAAAATTCAATTAAGGAATCAAATAAGTCATTACAATAACTGCACATCTATCACATCACATTTAATAATAAAATACTTTAATTTGATTTCAAGTTAGCTAAATATCACATCATTAGAATCATTAGTCACAGATTACCAATAATATTCCAACATAAAGAATGACTAAACAATAATAACAACAGCATAGTTTTGAAAGTTAACAATTTTTGTAGTAATACACTAATCCTTAAATTCATTATTTAGCAAATTTTGGCATCTATGCAAAGAGCATAGCTATTTCAACAAAAATACTAAGTTCTCCCAACAAGAAACTTTATTAATGGTAAATATTTGAGACATATGCAGTGTCTATGGACGTGCATTGCACCGAAAAGAGTGTTTGGGAAGGGGTCCCATTTAAAAACACACCAAATCTCTAAGCACTGTAGTGTTCCTCGCACATATGACTAACAGGAAATGCACTGAAATTGAAATTGTTCATTCAGGAGAATTCCATTCGGACAGACAATGCCAGGAAATCCGGCTTTAGGAAAAACAATGGAAGACAAAATACCGTAGTTAATAAAACAAGAAGGATAAACTTAAATTCGTGATAAAATATAGACCATTTCATGGGATTTAGTTTGAAACAACGCTGCGAACGTCTCGCAACTCACCGGGGGACTTCTAAGGGCCTAGCCTGAGCAGCTGGCTAGTTACGGATAGAGCACCATGCAGCGGATAGCACTGCTAGACCAGGCCTGTGCTAGGCCTTTACAATAGCAGCAATAGACAACAGATATGATCTTGTTATTTAGGCCAAAAAAAAAAAAAAAAATTTGTGAAAATACAAAAAATGGGGCAGGTCGGTAGGAAAACTTTTTTTTTTTCGTTTGTCAAAAAAAAACAAAAAAAAAAACTAAAATCTAGTAAAATTTGGGTTGGTCAGGTGTGGCCAACACAATAATTTTTTATTATTTTGCCTTACTTTAATTACTGTATATGTAAACATTGAAATAACTTTTTAAAACTTAGACTTAAACATTTCATGTTTTTTTCCATTTTAAAATAATTGTACTCGTAAGTAATTTGGTTTCATCGTTGAATTAATCCATGATGGTAAAGTATGTAGAGCGAAATGCTAGGCCTCTGAAAGTCCCCAGTGGTAGTTGCCAGGTTTTTGAAAATTTTCATTTTAAATTTCACAAAAATGGTGTAAACTTGATACATACTTCTCATTCTTCTTAGGGTCTTCAAACTTTTCTGGAAGAGTATTAAGCCATTTGCGAAGCACTCTGAATAGACTTGGTTCAGGGAGAGCACCCGACAGCTGAATACAATGCATACGCACCATCTCCCTTGCAATAAGTCTTTAAAATATTTAACAGAAAATAATGAAAAACATTAATGTATGATAGTTTACAATATTATATTTTATTGGTCTCAAAATCTAAATAACCTTTCATGGTTCTTCAACGAGGGTCTTGTGAAAACAACAGCCACA